GGGAGGGAGGGGAGGGTTTGCGGGACTGGGGTGTGCTGATGGGGCGGGGATTGATCCCTCCTCCCCTTGAGCCTGTTTGAGTCTGCGTGCTGATGGGACTGTATTTGTATGAGTATCACGGACACACAGACGAGTGTTACGGTTAATGACAGTTTCCCCCCCTCTTTGCAATGGATTCTGTCGAGCAGCAGTGCCGAGAGGCGAGATGACGGATGTGTGGACGACTGTGCGTGTGACTCAGACCGGTGCGATGCAGGGAGCGATAAGGGCCGGCCCGAGGGCGGCGTATTTGACTCTCGCGGCGAATACATCACCTTGTTCCGTTGGGTGATTTGCGAGCTGCGTGGTGACCGAAGGTTATCAGCACATGAATAAATACCAATGAATCCCCACACAGACAGTCTCTAGCACAGCGCATCTGATCATGCCACCAGCCCCCCTGACTGTACACACGGATCCACACAGATCCAGTAACACACGACACATGCACCAGTCACGCGCCTGCTGCAGATGCCTAACGTGACGGCACGTGCTCGGCGGCAGTCTCCTCTCGCTGCCTGGCGCGCATGAACTGTTCGGCAATGACCATGTCCTCTGGGGTGGTGATCTTGAGGTTCTCGTACTCGCCCATCGTCAGCTTGACCGGCTTGCCCAGCAGCTCCACCAGCGACACATCGTCCGTCACGGCCAGCGACTTCTCACGCACAAGCGCGAACCCCTCTTTCAGCAACGCCGGCTGGATCACCTGCGGCGTCTGGATCTCCCATAACCGACTCCTATAGACAGATAGATAAAGCATGAATGGCACATAGATGTGTGTGTTCGACGGGGTAGGTACCTTTCAATTGTCCTGAGCACGAATTGCCCGTCTTCGCTCTCCTTGACAGTGGCCTTCATCGGTACGCCCACGACCGCCGCCCCATGAGTGTTCGCGTCCCGTATGCACTGCAGCACCGTCCCCTGCGTCACCAGCGGCCTCGCCGAGTCGTGGATGCACACCACACTCACCCCTTCCGGCATCGCCTGCAGCCCATTCCACACGCTGTCCTGCCGCTCCTCGCCCGGCGGCGCAAACACTATCCGCTCGTCGCGGCCGCGAAAGGTGTCCCTGTAGGCCTCATCGAGCACCAGGACGATGTGCTTGACGCCCGGCAAGGTGAGGAAGAGCTCGACGCTGTGCTCAAGGACGGGCTTGCCCATCAGCTCGAGGAACTGTTTCGGCCGGTCGGCATTCATCCGTTTGCCCACTCCGCCAGCCAGCAGGATCACTCCCACGTTGTCAACGTGCCCATCAACAGAAGGTGAGAGGGATGCCGCCAGAAGTGGCGGTTGACGCCGCCTTGCAGAAGGGGCAGCTCTTGATATTGGTGGTGGGTGTAGACCGCCATGTATGGCTGAGCGATGAGGGCCGACAGAGAATGCTGTGGCCGCGACGCCGAAGAGAGAAAGCACCACGAGATTCATCATCTTGATCAATAGATCAAGGAGGTCTCAAAGCTCGGACTCGTTTGCGTGCTGCAGGGATGAACGACGCCTCATTTCCTTTCACAGTCGACGTGCGGCTGACGAGGCAGCGGTGTCAGGGAGCACCCTAGGCGCCCTTTGCGAGCTTGGAACTTTTCTTGGCGCCTTGTGGAACAACGTCCACAGCGAGGAGCTCATCGTTCTCTCTATCAATCAACACGCATGTCGGCGAGTAAGCTCAAGTTCGGCCTCAACCTGCCCGCTAAGAAGGCCAACCAGCCCCCTCTCCCCAGCAGCAGACAACAGCAGTCAGCGGCCGGCGTGTCAGCGCTCTTCGCCCAGTCGATGGAGGACGAGGCAGCGGACGATGAGCAGGGCAGGCGCGGGCAGTTCCGGCGCATGGTGCAGACGCAGGCCGGTCGGCAGAAGCGGCATGAGGAGGAGCACCAGAAGATGCTCGAGGTGGACCCCACCATCTTCAGCTATGACGACATCTACGACAACATCAGCAGCCAGCAGAGGGCGGAGGCCGACAAGCAGCTAAAGCGACAGCAGCAGGAGGAGCGGGCAGCTGAGGAGGCCGCTGGCAAGAAGAAGGCCAAGCCCAAGTCCCGTTACATCGAGTCGCTTCAGCGCGTCAGTCAGCGGCGGCAGATGGAGCAGGAGATCATCGAGGAGAGGAACTTGAAGCGGGAGCAGGAGAGGGACGCGGAGCTGTACGCCGACAAGGACAAGTTCATCACGTCAGCGTACAAGAAGAAGCTCGAGGAGCGGCGGCAGCTGGAGAGGGAGCTGGCCATGCAGGACGCCCGCGACACCCACAACGAGGTCACCAAGAAGGAGAACCTCACCGACTTCCACTCTCACCTTCTCAAACACAACCTCGCCTCGAGGCATGTCCAGCCACCCCCAGCCAAGCCCGCCACAGACGATACACCACCAGCAGCGCCGGTAGAGAGAGAGGAGGGTGCTTCATCAGCTGCTGCCGTGGGAAATATGCCTGAGGACAAGCCATCATCACCGAGGCCCGACAAGCGGCCACGAGATGGAGACGAGCATGAGGCTGAAGCGCCGCCCACAGCTGCAGGCCAGCCTCTCCCCTCCACTGAACAGGAGGAGCCGGCGGCGGCTCAGCCGGCACCGAAGAAGCCCAAGAAGGATGTGCCCGCTGCCCCGCCGGAGCTGTCAGCGGAGGAGAAGGCGAGGCAAGAGGCGGAGAGAAAGACAGCTGTCTTGTCTGCGCGTGAGCGGTATCTGCAGCGCAAGAAGCAGCAAGAGGCGGGGGAGGGGCAGTCTGAGGGCGGCACGTGACTTGAGGCAGTCGGCGTGTTGTGTGTCGTGATTGCGTGGATGCACTCAGAGTCTGTGTTGGATTCTTTCTTTATCGTGGATCATGCCGCGCCTTCACGCAAGACAATGACCATCTAAATGTGTCTGTTCTCGCAGATCTCGCATCAGGCCACACACTAGCTGTCCACAAGACAGGCCTGTCTGTCTGCTGCAGTCGGATCTCTCGCCTGTCCCGCCAACCTCATGCAAGCACCATCACACCCATCCACCCACCCTCTGTCCCACAACCGAAGTCCTTAATTAGTGCGCACGACGCAGTGCCCATCGCCCATCGACATCACAGCACACAACACCACACAGAGAAAGAACACTAGGGCATCCGTGTGCGCTGCGATTGCTACGAGAAAGCGGCTGCCTTTCGTCCCGAATAATGAATTGCCATTCCCCCAATCAACCAACCAAGCCTCGCCACACTGGCCCACTGGCTATACATGGACGGACATTCACTATTTGATTGTTTTCCTCAACTTGTGTCCCACTTGGTTCTTGGCCACTCGCTCAGCCTTGATCTCCTCCTCAGTCTTGTACCGCTCGAATGACCACACCTGCACGGCACGCAATACAATACTCACACGCCATGTGGTGTCATCCGTGTTGGGTCTTTTTCTGACCTGTGTGGGGTCGTGTGCGTCACATTCCTTGAGCTCCATGGCCCTGGCGTCCAGCCTCTCAGCCAGACACTGTGGTGGGTCGTGCGGCCGACCCCTGTCCAAGTAATGCAACAGACCGTCTTCCTCTGAGTACTCCCACCTGTCTCCAACCATGCCACCCACACCACACAAAGACACTACCACTGGCCGGCCAATGCGCGTGGTGTTTTGTGATCGGTTGCTAAGCTGACATGTTTTGGTGTTCGTGGCACCAGACGAGCTCGTTAGGGGGTTTGAGGCATGCCTCGTCGTTGCGGACGGGCATGATGTGTTTGGGCACCCTGAAGTACATGAACTCCTGCGGCCCCCTCATGCCGTGGCACTCGACGATGCCGATCTTCTGACCGGGGCTGTTTCGACCCATCGAGTCGACACACCTGGTTAGCCACACACGCGCGCATTGGCCACACGTGTGTTGGTCTTCCTCTGTATGTGTGTGTGTACCGGTTGGAGGCCCGGTTCTTGATCTCGCCCATGAAGGGGACGTCTCTCGGCAGCTCGGTGATGTAGCTCTCCGGCCATACGTTGTCGAAGAACCACTTGAAGGACTTGCACTGCAGCCGCTCCCGCAACGCCCGCATCTCGTCGAGAGAACCCAGGTCGGTGGTCGGACGACCCAACACAGCCCTGCATCAAATCAATGACCACACGGACTAGAGCGGATGGGTGACCGGTAGTTGTGCGTGTGTTGTGTTGCTTGTGTGGCGTACCTTGCTAGGTCCCCGAATTCGTCCATCCAGATGGCCGCCGTCCTCATCTTGTTGATCGTCAAGGCATTGGGAGGCGACTGATAGATACCACACACACCGACACACACAGATGCACACCTTCACACATGCCCGCCGCCGCGCGTTTGCCGTGTTATTCCTCTCCCTCCCTCCCTCCCTCCCTCCCTTACTGACCGAGTAGCCAGAGCCGCCCTTCCTGAATATGTGGAAGACCCGAGAGCACGGCGAGCACTCGAGCGACCCCCCACACTGCCATATCCTGAACGACAGCTCCAGGTTCTCCGTCCCCCAATACATGAACTGGCGGTCGTAGCCACCCAGCTTCCAAAAGTACTCACGATTCGCCGCGAACAGCCCCCCCGCCATGGCTGGCGACGGCATCGGATCGATCGCCGATTTCCGCTTGGCCAGGTCCTTCTTCTGGTCGGGGTAGGCGTGCTCCATCAGCTTCCATAGGAAGCCGAGAGTGCAGCCGATTCCGCCGCCGAGGAATTTGAAGGTCTCAGGGTCGATGGAGTCGATCTGTGGCATGACGAATCGCTTGCGGCCTTCAGGGCCCTGTAACCGCTCCATCAGAGGCTCCAGCCACTGGGGCTCCACCTGACAACCACACACACACACACACACAAATGGACACTTATGAGGGCCACAGAAAGAAGGTTGTCTGTCAGATGCCGGCAGCTCTCACCCACCTCGATGTGGCTGTCGAGAATGACGAAGGTCTCGGCCTCGCACTCCTCCACCCCCCTCAGCCTGGCGGCGACGATGCCTTTCCTCTGCTCGAGGCGGACCATTCGTGTCTTGGGCAGGTGCGTGATGTAGTCGGCGATCATGCCGTTGCCGCCCATCTCCCTGGGCTTGATCCACTCCTTGTCGCTGCCGTCGTCCACCAAGACGATCTCCTGCAGCAGCTCGGGAGGCGTCCGGTCCAACACGCTGTGCACCGACCTCATGAGTGTGGAGAAAGGTTCGTTGTAGAAGACGAAGACGACACAGGTCCTGGGCAGTGTGGGGATGTCGTATGTCTTGGCGAGGCAGAGGTCCTGGCGCAGGTCCTTGACATCTCGGTGCAGCGGGAGCGAGTCCGACTTGCGCAGAAAGAACCCGCCGCCCTCGCGCAGCTCACGCGCCATATCCACCTTCTGCCATCCACCCCGACCCGATCACACACAAGCAGACACACGACAGACACGTGCAGGGGTTTCTCTCTGTCATCCATCATGTGGGCGTCCCAGCTAAGTGTGTGGGTACCGTACCTGTGGCGGCGAGGGTGCCGGCTGCCATGCCGGCGTGCCGTTGGGGAGCAGACCCACGGCCCCGTGCAGCATCCCAGGACCCACATCACGATACACCCACCCATCACCACCACCATCTGGCTGCTGCTGCTCCTGCTGCTGCTGGTCGTCTTGCTGCTCGTGCTGTGCCTCCCCCTCGCCATGCCTGCCGTCGTCGTTGTCGCCTTCGAGTGGCGGGGCGGGCACCACGCCAGCGCCAGCAACGGCAGCGTCATAGCCCCGCTGGCCGGGTGCGCCGGCGATGCCGCCGACGCTGTCGGCCGACTGCCAGTACTCGGTCTCCTCCTCAACATTCACCTCCTTATCGCCATTGTCATCATCTTGGTCGTCGTTGGCACTGTCGTTGTCATCGTCATTGTCGTTGTCATCGTCAGTATCACCATCTTGCTGCTGCTGGTCTTCGTCGCCCCGCAGCTCCTTTGGACCCTCCACTTGTGGCGCGGGGATCTCCTCGTGAAGCTCCTGCTCCTGCTGCTGGACACCCTTCCCTGCACAGACAGACAAACAGAGAAAGATGGACCTGTGCGTGGCGGTGAGAGTGGGATGAGGCAAGCGTACCGCTCTTCATCTTCTGGTGTCCAGTCACCCACCCCGCCGCCATCTTTGCTCTCCTTGCCAGCCGTCCCTGCAGCCCTCGCATCATGCTGTCCCTCTCCGACATGCCCGTGAGGGTGGCGGCGCTGTCCGGCTCCTCCAGCTGGTGCAGGAAGGACACGTGCAGCACCAGCCATGTGCACCCAGCTATCACCAGCACGCACTGCAGGATCCGTCCGAACCGGCTCGTCATGGCGCGCATATATAGGGTAGCTGGCTCGCTAGGACCGCCAGGCCACAGACAGTATCCGTCGGTCAAGATTCACACACACAGAAGCCTCCTGGGCCATCAGCTGGCCCTCGTCGTTTGCAGCGGTCACACTTGGCTCACGGGATGGCGGCAATTGGCGAGATCTGCAGATCTTGGGCTTGTTCCTCAACACACGCTCTCCAGACGTCCACGAGATGCGATATTCTGCTGCAAGCTCGTTGGGTACCGCATGCGAGCTTTCTTCGAACAGAGAGGGGCGCCCTCGTCGTGCAAAATCGAATAAAAGCGGGCTGTGCGCAATGGGGAATGCCAGCGGTGTCAATGTGCAGACAGACCAGCAGAACTACGGCGCTGGCGATGAGGTCACAGGCCGGGTGAGAAGGAATTGTGCACGGAGAAAGGCGAGGCCTTCTGAGACTCTATACACTTGCTGCTCTGCTCTCTCGTTTGCCCCGCTCTGCCCTCAGGTCAACTTGCAGGTCGAAAGCCCGACGCAGGTCAAGGGAGTCTTCTTGAAGGTGTCGGGCTTCGAGCGTGTGACCGTGTGGGGTAGGTAATAAGAACAGACAGCTCACGAAGGAAGGCACTGCAGCACTCACTGGGGGCGTGGATGGATGAAGCATGCAGACCAGACCGGCACTTTAGGCGTTTCAGTCGGGCCCTTTCATTGCGCCGCTGCTTGTGTGCCTGTCTGCAGAGACGTACACGGTCACGGAGGGCACTGGCGACAACGCCAAGCAGGTGCAGAAGACCAGGACGCACACCAATCGCAATGACTTCTTCAAAGTTGAAGTGAGAGAGAGAGAGAGAGACAAATCAGTGAATGGTCTTTGTCCAGTAAACTGCGCTACATACACTGCTGCCTTGCCTTTTGCCTTTTTCTTTGCTCAATGAAGGTTCCGGTGGCTCAGGGCCTGTCGCATCTCGACCGTGGGCAGTACTCGTACCCCTTCCGCTTCATGCTGCCATCCACACTACCAGGCAGGCAATGCAATGCCTGGATGGATGGATGTGTCGATGGCGGCCCCTGCCTGCCTGTCTGTCTGTCTGTCTGCCTGTTGGTGCAGGCTCGTTCGAGCTCTCTGACCGAGTCCATGGTGACCGGTATAACTGTGAGATCGTATACAAGGTCAAGGGCAAAGTGGTGCGGCCGGGCATGTTCAAGGCGGACCTCAAGGTGAGGTAGGGGTGGCCACAAACACAGAGAAGAAGTGGATGGATGGATGGATGGGTCGATTGGATGCAGGACACCAAGAAGCTGACGGTGTACCAGAGGATGCCGCCTTCGGTGGAGCTTGTGGGTCACGACCACCAGATGATGTACCTCTGCTGCTGCATCGCTAAGGGCGAGATGAACCTCACCATGAGGTGCAACGCCGACAAGTACATGCCCGGTCGGTGAATGAGCATGGTGATTCATGTAATAATGTGAGCCAGGCGCGTACCATACCACCTGCCGTGTGTGTGTGTGTGGACATGAAGGCGACATGGCCCAGCTCCTCTGCTCGATTGACAACCAAAGCGAGGCCAACATCCCGAAGATCCGCCTGGAACTTGTCAGAGAAGTGGTCAGTGCGGCACACACGACCATCCTCTCCACTCCCCACTGCCGCGTGTGTGTGTGTGTGCAGAGTATCACCACGCGTACGCGCACGTGGCGCGACAAGGACGTGATCGCTTCCCAGAGCTACGCGGGGATAGCGCCTCACACCAAGGAGACGGAGCAGGAAGGCAACCCCAGGCAGATGACTTTGTCCATCCCACATAGCGTCCGGCCCACGACGTTCGGGCAGATCATCCAGTGCCAGTTCAGCATCCAGATGAAAGCAGGTAACTGACTAACTGATTGAGCACCATCCAGATCCAGACACACTGGCGCACTTGGGAGTCTCTGTCTTTCTCTCTCTGTTTGTGAAGGCATCACCTGCGGGACAACAGCCAACGTGACTTGCCCGATCATTCTGTTCCTACGTCAGCCGCCCCCGGCCCCCATCGCCATGATGCCGGCCACATGGCAGCCAGTGGTTTATCAGGAGGTCGTCGCCATCACCATCCCAGCACCCACCGCCCCACCCCTGCCACCAGCCTACACACACTATCTCCAGCAGCAGCCAGCCGTGGGCGGCCCGGGGGCCTATCAGGTGGCCCCCCCCATGTATGCGCAGCCGAACATTCCTGGGGGGGTGCCCACCCAGGCTGTCGTGGTGCAGCAGCAGCAGCAGCAGCAGCCGGGTGTCATGATGCCGCAGCCGCAGGAGCAGCTGCAGCAGCAGCAGCAGCAGTACACGCCGTTGACGTCAGCGCCCCCGCCGCCGTCCTATGGGGCGAATGGGGAGACGGAGGCCAAACCTGAGGGAGGGGATTCTTCGGGGGAGGCCCAGGCCCCACCGCCAGCGTATGACTGACTGACTAATGAGGAGGGAGGTTGAGTTGAGTGAACGGACAATTGGAGAAAGCAGAGAGCTGCTGATGGTGGCGTGGCGTGGCGTGATAGTGTGAGTGAGACATTCGGAACCACTGTCTCTCTCTTTGTCTGAACACTTGAAGTGCTTGAGTGGAATGCGGCCCAGCAATACTACCTGCAGCACTTTTTTTCTATCGTATCTCACCTTCCTTACACTTACATAATGTCAGTCACATCGACGTACTTACGTAATTAGAGCACCCCTTGTCTCCATCCATCCACCGTCCATGGCTGCACTCTTCACGCCACAGCCCACACGAAGCTCTGTGCTGTCAGTCATGGGCAGCATGACGTGCAGGGAGTCAATGGACAGTTGAGTGGATGCCACACCCGGCACACACATACCCACATACACACAGACATTCCCCGCCCTCATCTCACGGACACACGGGCCACAAAAAGGGAAGGGACATCGAAAACGGTCCTCAGCAAGTCAACTGAGATAGATAGAGGTATTAGCTAATGTACCGACACTTCTCTCTCTCTTCGCTCTGGCTGCACTCTCACTGCTGACACAGCCTTCTGTCACCCCCGGTGAGGGGCTGACTGACTGGATGAGGTTGAGTTCAGCTGTTGAGCCCGAGTGAGCCGCTGTCGCCCTGGGTGTCCTGCAACCACACACACACACACATATACGCAGTACACGCACAGACATCGGGAAATGCACTTATGTGGGGGTGTGTGTTGTCTGTCTAGCTTGTGCCAATGACTGACAGTGAGCGACTTGTCGAGCCAGTGGATGGTGACACTCTTGGGTCGCTCGATGGGGAATCCCAGCAGCCGCGACCACACCAGCTGAGACAGACACCCGATGGTGCGGGACACACCGAACAACACCTGAATGCACCCACACACACACGTGAATGAGAGAAGGGGTGTGTGTGGTGGGTGGATGGATGGATGGATCGGTTGGTTGCATACTTACTGTGAAGTAGTCTGCTTCAGTGAGGCCGTAGTGGTGCAGCAGGATGCCCGAGTGGGCGTCTACATTCGGCCACGGGTTCTTCACCTTCCCTACAAACACACACGCGAACACACATACACACATTTGTCCTATGCATGTCTCGCCATGACGTGTGTGTTTGCCGGCCTACCATACCTGTCTTCTGCAGTATGACAGGTATGGTCTTGTAGCAGGCGTCGACTATCCTGAAGAGCTCAGAGTCCTTGAGGTGCTCGAGGGCGAACGCCCGCTGCGCCATGTATCTTGGGTCCGTCACACGCAGCACAGCGTGGCCGAACCCAGGGATCACACGGCCTGAGTCGAGCGTCTCCTGGACACACATCACCCACACAGACAGATAAAGAGTGGGAATGCGACACCAAACTCCCGTGAGTACCTACCTGCGCGAGTTTGGCGATGAGCTCGTCGCTGGGCGGCTGGCCCTTGAGTCTGTCCTTGAGGTCCAGGATCCACCGCAGACACTCCTGGTTGGCCAAACCATGCAGCGGACCTGACACACCGCACGACACACAGGTAAGGCCTCCTTTGCGTGTTCTCCGTGTGTGAGTCAGTGCGCCCACCGGCGAGTCCGGCGAGTCCCGCTCCCATTGAGAGGTATGGGTCCGACAGGGCACTGCCCACCAGGTGGGTCGTGTGGGCAGAAACATTGCCACCTGACACATTCAGCCAGACAGACAGACAGCCAGACATGGATGGGGGGATGCATCGCGACGCCGCGCCCTTCTACTGCTGCTGTTGTATCTTGTTTTGTCTGTTCTTGCGTGTCGTGTGATGTCATGGGTGGGTGTGTGGCGTCACTCACTGACCTTCGTGATCGGCGTGTAGGAAGAGGTACAGCCGCATCAGTTCGTAGAAGTTCGGATCCTCATAACCCAACATCTTGGTGAAACTCGCAGACTGACCAACACGTTTAAACGGATGGATTCACCCATCGATCCATCGATCCATCCATCCATGTCCATGTGATGTATGTGTTCATTCTTCTCACCCAGTCGAGAGAAGGGTCTGGTGGGATGGTCTTGCCGTCTTTGAACGTCCGGCGGTAGATGCGCGCAGCGATGATCGGGATACTCGCTATCTGCCCACCCACACAAACAAACAGAAAGAGAACACATTTCCATTTCCCGCGCGAGTCGTTCTCTCCGCCAACAGTGACTGACTGACCAGGTCCAGCGAGTCGTTGAGAATGGGTTTCCAGTACTGGGTCTTGTGCAGCCCGTCTCGGTATAGTGTGGCGAACTTGCTCTCCGTCTGCATGGCCGTCACCCCCACCACCAGCTGCGTCATCGGGTGGGTCGACGCCGGCAGCGCATCGATGGCCGCCTCCACGTGCTTGGGCACCTTTGCGCGACTCGCCAGCTCCTGCTGGATCATCATGGTCTCCTCCGGGCTCGGGATCTCCCCCGTCAGCAGCAGCCACAGCAATGCTTCCGGCAGGGGCTCCTTGCCGCCCTGCACCGTCGGCAGTCTGCCGCGAAGGTCCTCGATTTTGTGGTCGCGGTAGGTGATGCCAAACTCTGGGTCGAGCTCGCTGGTCTCGCATATCATGCCCTTGATCCCCCGCATCCCGCCGATGGCCTGGTCCAGCCGCACCTCGCCCAGGCTCGCCATCCGGTGGTTCTTACGCAGGTACTGCAGGATGTCGATCTTGCGCTTGCCCAACTCCTCTATCTTCTCCGTCAGGGCTGGCATGGCCGACGAGAAAGAGCGGCAGCTCGTGCAGCTGGCTCGGGACGCTGCAGTGGCAGAGCCCAGATGAGTACAGGCGAGCCTGGAGAGGCTCAGGGATGTGCGGATCTTCATATTATGCTACGGAAGGACGGACTGCGAAGCCCTCGGCGAGGAGCTGAGCTTGCAGATCTGAGCTCGCAAAAGCAACAGCAGAGTGTTGAGGAAATGTGATAAGGCCTAGTACCCTAGCCCAGGCTGAATTAAAAGTGCCGCGTACACCCTAGGGTATGGGCAGGACGATCGGAGGGTTGGAAGAACCCTACCGCGTTTCTTCAACGCAGAGGAGAAGGAGGAGAGAGGATCTGGGGATGTGCTTCGTTGGTGTCTGTCATGTCAGCAGCCCGCGATTGAATGACAAGCCTTGAGATCTCCTTCCCAGATTGATCTATCCATCCATCCCGATGATGAATCTGCGCTCGGCAGATGCCAAAGGTCTTGTGGCGCTTTCCCTCTTCGTAAGCAAGCTGTCGATAGCATCACTCAATGAAATGAGGTCAACGCTTTCATCTGACTGAGATGGATGGATGGGTGTCGGCAGCTTCATAACGCCGCTGCCCAAGTGACTCAGTTTATCCCCGAGTGCGACCTTGCCTCCCCCTGCGTGAATACATCGGACAGCACGGCCGCCGCCTGGCTGGTGGGAGGTCACATCTGGGAGTGGGAGTCATCTTCGATGCCATTCAAGGGCGCCTTCCGTCGCAACCGTGTGTTGGTGCAAGATGGACTTATCAAGGCGGTCGAGGCGGACGACGGGCATGGTGTTGGGCCTGAGGATGGCGCTCGTGTGGTGGACCTGCAAGGGGCTTATGCGGTGCCAGGTACACAGGTCTATCTCAGAGTGCTATGGATGCCTGTGTGTGTGCGTGCGTGCGTGTGTGTGTGTGGTGTTCAGGTTTGCATGACAGCCACATTCACGTCGAGATGACGGGTGCGAAGCGCAGCAGTGTGGACTTGGCCAACACCACATCCATCGACGACATCGGCCAGCGATGCAAACAATTCGCAGAGAGGTAAATAAGGTGGATAGAAACACCTACTTACCCACCCACATGTACCTCTTCTGTCTGTCTGTCTGTCTGTCTGTCAGCCACCCGAATCGTGCGTGGATCGTGGGCTCAGGGTGGGCTCAGGAATCGCTGAAAGAGAGGCGCATGCCGACGAGGAAGGACATCGACAAGTACGTCCCAGACAGACCGGTCTTCCTCTATCGCGCCTGTTTCCACGTCGCCGTCACCAACACGGCCGGCCTCAGGGCCGCCAACCTGCCGCTGGACCAAGTCGACAGCTGGGGCAAAGTGGACGGCGGCCGGGTGGGCCTCTATGACGACGGCACCCCTGATGGGCTCTTCTATGAGGAACCGGCTTATAGCCTGGTGGGTGCGGGCTCCTCATACCGATCATACCGACCGACACGGCAGCAGTAGTGAGTGCTCTGCATGGCATGGTGTGTGTGGCGCCATGTGTGTGCAGGTGACAAGTTATGCGCTGGCTGAGTCGGACGAGGTGCGGATGGAGTTCATATCGAGTGCGCTGGAGGAGATGGCCCGCACCGGCCTAACGGCCGTCCAGTCCAACGATGGCGACGCTGTCGAGCTTTACAGAAGGCTGGAGGCGGCGAAACGACTCCCCATTCGGTAGGCGAAGGTACACACAACTGATCTCGTGTCGTGTGGACGTGGCTGCTGTCCTGCTTCCTGTCCTGCTGGCCAGTGTGTTCCACACGGTCATGTTTGAGGATCTGATCCAGGCGTTTGCCAAGCATATGGGCTCAGAGGGACCGTCCACTGAGGAGGTGCTCCAGTATGCTCGGACGATGAACGACAGCGACCGACAAGAGCTGCTCAGGACCCAGCTCAATGTCCGCGTAAGCATTGCGCCTCGTTCCCTGCCGGTCTTCCTGCATCCCTCCGTTGGTTGAGTTGCCTGTCACACCAGGGCCCTTCCGTGCACTCGCGAGTGTCCTGCGATCGAGTCAAGGTGTTCGCTGACGGGTCCCTGGGCGCCAAGACGGCGGCTGTGCGGCAGCCTTATAAGACGGGCACCACCACCAATGAGACCACGGGCAGCCCGGCGGGCCACAGCGATGTGGAGACGCCCTGGCAGGCGCACGCGGCCAATGGAACGGATCAGGGCGGGAGGGGCATCCTCATCGAGACCCCAGACGAGCTGCAGAGGCGATTCGAGCTGGCCACGTGAGGGAGTTGTGTGTTCAGGAGATTTCGCTGGCTTCTCGAAGTGCGCCCGTGTGTGTATTTGGTGCATGCGAATGCAGTTTGTGTGGTCTGCGGCTGGAGGTACACGCCATAGGCGATAGGGCGGCTGAAGAGGTCAGCCGAAGAGACAGCTGGAGGGGTAGTGAAGACACAGGTCGAGGGAGGGTATCTGGTGTGCCTGTCTGTAGGTGTTGGATGCATTTGATCGGGCGGGGGTGCCTCCCTCCATGCGGCCCGTGCTGACTCACTGCCAACTGCTAGGCAGGGACCTCATTGACAAAATGAAGCGGCTCGGCGTCATTGGGAACATACAGGTCAGTGAGCAAGACAACCCACCCACAATCGCCCTTGTGTATGTATGTGTGTATCTCCACCCACACGATTGCGCAAATGTATGCAGCCGCCATTTGTGCCGACGGATGCGTCATGGGTTGACAAGGTTGTGGGCGGCGAGGCACTCGAGTACGCCTATGTGTGGAAGACCATCATGGACGGCGGCATCCCATGTTCCGGTAAGTCAGGGAGTGCACGCAGATGCCCCTCTTGCTTTGTCTGTGTGTGTCATGGATGGATGGATGGATGGATGGACGGACGGCTCGGCTCCATGCATCAGGTGGGAGCGACAGCCCGATCGAGCACTTCAGCCCATTGAAAGGCATACTCGACGCCATCTACCGACCCACCCAACACGTCTACCCACTCTCTTCACGAGTGACAACACAACCACAGGGGCAGCTCCCGCCCGTCCCTTCCGAAAATGACACGTTTCGCCCTGAGGTAACTGCCTGCCTGCCTAAGGCGACGAACAAACCACTCGTGGCAGGGAGGGCATGTGTGTATCTGTGTGTGTGACGCAGGAGCGTCTGACGTTCGACGAGGCTCTGGCGCTCTACACCATCGGCGGTGCGTTCGCCTCGCGCACAGACGATCAGACTGCCCCTCCGCCATCCGTGCTGCTGGGACACATCAAGCCAGGATACGCAGCCGACCTGACCGGTAGGGTAGGCACACGGATCACTCGCACTCGGTTGATCGGTCTGTTTCTCTGTCTCTATGTGCGTGTGGCAGTGCTTGATTGCGACATATCGTCGCACTCGTGGCGCAGCATACTGGAAGCGCGTGTGAGGGGTGTGTGGGTTGGCGGACAGCAATATGTCTTGACTGACACGCCCACGACTGACTGAGTGATGCGCAGAGAGAGTTGGAAGGTTCTGATGGATCTATGAGCTATATATGTTTTTTGAGAGCTATGTCATGTCGTGGGGAGATGGCCCAGATAGACGTTTAAGTGTGTACTTGTATGACACCTACACTGCAGGAGTGAGTCCAGGGATACGTACATGTTGTCCAGGCAAGGACGGTGGGTGCTAGCTACAAGAACAGTTGGTGCATTAACCATCACATCAACCCACATGGGGAGGGAGAAGAATGACATAACAGCTGTGATGCTGTGTGAGACTGAGTCCAAACCACGCATGGACACACACCACACCACACCACACCACGCACACCATACCATACACCCCCACACCCATTGCCCGTTTGTCTATCTGGTTGTGGCCGGCTTGAACGTCTCCCCGGTGGATGCAGGCGACACCCATGACCCCTTGTTGCCCACAATCACACCAGGCATCGACTGCACGTTGGCTGACGATGAAGACGCCGACGAGCGAGACTCGGCCCGCTCGTCGGGCGTCGCCGGCGTCCCAACCTTCTTCCGCTGTTGAGTTGATCTCTCACTGGTCGCCGATCTGTTGCCGGACTGGCGGGACGCCTCTCTCGTCTCTTTCTTGTGTCTCCTCTTCTTCTCCCGCTGTTGCTCATCTTTGATGTTCATGTCCTTTGCTTCTTCCTGGGGCTGCTCCGGGATCGGCTGCAGAGTCGAAGCTTCCGGGATGCCCATGTCGGCCTGTTGTTGATTCCGTGGGGGAGGCGCTTCTGTCCTCACTGATGGGCTCTTACGTCTCTCGCGTCGCTTCTTGGGTGATTGGTCTAGAGGAGGCTCTGTCACTGGCGGCCGCATGCCTGCGATGTCCAGGCTCATGAACAAGTAGGGATCGTCGCTCACACGAGTGGGGGGCTGCTGGTGCACATCTGCTGCCGGCGCAGGATTGGCTTCGTCCGTGTTCATTGGTGGCGGCTTCTGTGTGGCGGCCTTCGGGGGCGGCACATAGAGTGATGTTGCCGTGGGGCCGACAGCATTGAAGGAATCGGCAAGCGGGGCCGCGGTAGCAGGAGTCACCACATGCCTTGCCAAAGCTCTGCTCACGCCCTCGCCACGATGTCGACGTTTCAGAGGCGAGACCGCTGTCTCGTCGGCTGATGACGATTGCGGCGGCTCCTCTGCCTTCCGTTGCAAATCCAGCAACAGGTCTTTCTCATGGTCAGACTCTGTGTTGAGGGGGGGACAGAAGTCGAGGGCTCGCATTCGCTTCTTAGAGGGAAAGAGGCCGACGCCACCCGTCCATTCTTTGGTCCTGCTCCTCCTGTCTCGTCTCTTGCGCATCGTAGCTATCGGTGGCAGCAAAAGCCGCTCCTTCTCTATCTCGCTCATGCCCCATGTCCCCTTCACAGGCGTGTGCTGCAGGAACGACACGCGCCATCCTCGCAAGTGCCGCTGCTGCTTCAGAGGGGTGAGGTAGGAGGTGTCCTCGTCATCATGGGCAGGGATGACAGCCGTGGTGAACTGCCGAAGAGGATGACCAACTCGTTTGGGTTGTGGCTCGACTGATTGGGCGTAGAGGGCCGGCTCGAGGAGGGAGGGAGGCTGCAACTCGATCGAAGCACGAGGCGTGGCAGCGATTTCTGTTTTTCGTCTTTTCTGCTGGCGCACTCGCGGTGGAGACCTCGAGACGCCGAGTCCTTTGCCAGCGATGGGCGAGAGTGTCGCTCCATCCTGCTCCACGATCTGTTCTCTCTCCTCCCGGACAGGAGCCACCCGTTGTATCTCAGCTGCTAGGTTCCTCAGCATGTGCTGGTGTGCCGCTGATGGCAAGCTCACGGGCAGCGGAGCAGGTGGAACGGACACCAACTCAGTTCTGAGCAGCCACCCCGACGCAAGAAGCTTGGCGATCGATGTCGGCTGTGCCGCCGTGCTCCGGGCTGCCGGACGAGGGCCCTCGGAAGACGACAGGTGGACGGACAGGGGCCGCGGGCCTTCGGCTGAGGAGAGGGGCTCCTGGGGCTGCATCAGAGGGGACGGCCGGGGCGACTGCTTGGTCTTCATCGAGGGAACACCCGATTTGATAACTTCGATCAGGCCACCGACATCCTGTGTCTCTTGAGGTGGTTGCGGGGCCCTCGCTGGCTCCCGAACGACTGTCTTCTGTATTGGTGCGGCCATCTCGTCTCCCTCGTCTGTGTCTCCGAGCCGACGGATGAACGGCGGCGCCTCTGCCTTTTCTTTGTCTTCCCTCACGCTCCTTCTCATCTTGCGCTGCCTCGCCGCCCGCCTCCGTCGTCGGACCTCGGCAGCGTGCGGCAGGTAGAAGCCGCCAGGCAGAATGTCCCGTGTCGCCTGGCCCCTCAGGCCCCTTCGTCCCAGCCAGCCGAGCAGTGATGCCCTCTGCCGCCTGGTCAGTGGCATGGCCTCAGAATCACTCACGGGCAGCGACTCAGACAGGAGATTGGATGGCGGGACGAGGGCCTCCCGCACCTGCCTGGGCCGCTTGCGGAGCCGCACTCTTAGAGGGCGTCGCCGGTAACCCGAGTCCATTAGGATCTCCGACGCGGCTTCGCTCTCTGAAGGAGGGGCTGCAACCACCGGTGCCTTGCCTGCTGTGGGAGTGAGAACACACATCGACCCGCCGCGTTGCATAGGTGACTGCTCGTCGGGGGCGGGAGCTTCTGCTGCCGGTGGCGCGTGCATGACGGTGATGCTGGCTCTTCGCCCCGACGCGTCCGCAATCGGCACTTTTCCGCCTTCGAGCAAGTCCACCATCGCCTTCGGCGTGTCCATCCTCCGCATTTGGCGACGCATCTGGACCGCGCTCCCCGTGAAAATGCGGCTCTTGTCTGTCTCCTCCTTCTCGACGTGCACGTCCACACTCTGCGTGTCAAGCTTCTCTTCCGCTGATGAGCCACGCTGGAACGGTGCTGCTTTTGTCGACGATAGCTCGATTGGTCCCTCATCACCGCCAAACATCTGGGTCTTGCCGAACTTGACACGCATGGGTTGCTTCTTCGGGCCAGCGCTGGGCACCATGGTGCCGTGGCTCTGCAGCATTTGCACCTTTCGCTCAGACTTGACACGGTTCGAGGGGCTCTCGTCGCTGTCTTCAGCACTGGAGGACCCATGGCCTCGGACCTCGAACATGGGTTGCTCCGACGCTAGCTGTGAAGGCACGCCGACCGATCGGCTCGATTCGGAGATGGCGCTCGACGCAATGCCCTCACTCTCTTCCTCAAATATCCTCTCCGGAGGGGCGGCGAGCATCTTTTGCAATGCCACTCGGCGAGATGCACGTCTTTTGGCCATGACACTGCGGAAAGAGGCGTCTCCGCGCCTCGGTCCCATGCTAGATACGTTGCTCACGGTGTCGCTGAAGTCGGTCGTGAGCGTCCCTTCGCTGCCCAGCCCCCGAGAGGGCATGACGGGCGAGGCAGGTGCCGTTGCCGTGCCGTGCTTGGCCTCCAGGTCGGCGATCTGCTCTGCGAGGACGACGTCGGCCTGGGGTACCAGGTGGGAAGCTTTCTTCTTGGCCTTCTTCCTCCGCTTCTTCTTGCCGAGGCTCATAAGGATACGGCGGGACATCAGAACGGGATTTTCCTCCTTCTCCTGAATACGTGATATCATGATTATGCGGGACACGCTTTGATGTATTGAAAAGAAGCATCTTTCCCCGCTTACGAGTCTGAATTCTTCTTCCAAGTCCTCTTCCAGAATTCTCACCCTCTCCCGTAATCTCTCCGTTATCTTGGTCTTATCGCCAGTGGCGTCCGATACCTGCTCCGATTCATCGACCACGACAGTGCCCCGCTTCTTCAAGCGTTTCTTCTTTCGCCGCGACGAAGCGGACGCCGACGACGAGGACCCAGACGACGACGATGCTGACGAGTAGGAAGAAGAGGATGAAGGCGTGCGAGAGCCCGACCTCCATCCCTCACGCCGAGACTTCTCTTGTCGGAGCATCTTCACGGTCGTCTCACTAAATTCGCGAGCACAGGCAGGTAGGAAGTGTTTGTGGCCTTTGTTTCGGCGTGAATGTCTACCCGCGTTTGAGCTTTGGAGGGGATTTGGGTTTGGGATGGTCTGTAGGGAGGTCCCTCCCACCCGAGACAGCAAGAGCCTCCACCTCCATATCCGCAGCTTCAGCTCCTTGAGCGCCCTCGGCTCGACTCCGTCTCATGATTGCGAGCATCTCCTTGCGAGACATACCACCAGAAACCTGAAAGCACACAACACGTGAGGCCAACCAGTAGGAAGGCTCTCCCCTCGATCAGCCCACCTCTTTGACCGCGTCGTCTCTCCCCTCTCCCAGCATACGGACGATTCCAACGTCCTCCGCTCCATCTTCCAGCCGCCTTTCACGAATGGCAGCAGCCAACGCCCCCCCGCGGCGCACTCTGGGACGCCCCCTACCCATGCCTCTTGACATCGTGTCGTCGGGTGGTGCTCTCGGACCATGCACTGTGACTGGAGGGGTAGGGGTGGCCCTCTGAGGTCTCATGGCTGGGGAGAGGTCGTCATAACTGTAGGACCTAACGAGGCCCCTGGCCTCACCACCCTGCTGCCTCACGCGAGAAACGAGAACAGCATGGGCTTCTGCAATGAACTGCTGGAGAGAGGCGCGCTTTGACAGGGAGATGCCCGTAGCAGCGGCTGCACGAGGCAGCGAAGAGAGAGTAGAGATGAGCGTGAGCAGCTCGTCGTTTGTGTACTGTCCCGCAGATGCCTGCAAAGTCTCTACGATGGTCTTGTCCTCCATCATCGCTTGTAGGCGGAGGTCAGCCCACAATTTCGTGCCTCGCCTCTTGACTGACGCCTCCTTGTCCATGTCTCCATCGGCAGAGCTCGAGGCGGAGCTGCTGCCTCCGGAGCTACGCCGCATCATCTCGGGAGGCGTCTCTGCTCTGACATCGCGCGCACTGCCAGGCCGGGCCATGCCCGGGAAGAGCATCAGGTCAGTGTTCAGGGCCGCCACACCCGGTCCGCCAGTTCTTCCAGCTGCACGGGGCTTGAAGATCTCATTTTGTAGCCACACGGACTGACGGAAGGTCGTGGGCATCGACGAGCCGAGAGAGGACGACAGTAGGCTGGGACCTGCGGCTGAGCTGACGAGCATCTGGTAAGCTTCGTCCATGGCGTACAGGTGGGTCTGCTCCTTTTGGGTCCTGGCAAGCGCCCCCATCAGTGTGCGCCGCTGGCGGGTGCTCTCCGCCACGTGAGCCACACGATCGCGCCAAAAGCTGTATGCGAACAGACACAAGAGATCCGCGACATGGAAAGGCTGATTGGCAAAGCTGCCTCACTTGATCAGGTTCTCCATCGTCTTTAATGTGGCGGCAAGCCTGTTCCGCTCTTCCTTCATCGCCTTCTCTGTCTTGAGAGTCTCCGGGCCGACAAGCCCACAGAGGACCTCCACAAGATGCGCCGACCCGTGCACCAGGACCAGCTTCTTAAGCAGCTCGAAGCGCGTTGCCAGGTATCGATGCATCGCCTTGTTGAGCTTTCGTGCCTTCCTTACGTCCATGACTCCGCGCCGCACTTCTCGCCGACCCAGCACCACTTCCATGATCCGCTCCGGGGCCGCTCCCACCATCCGAAGCTGCTTCATCATGCTGATGTCCACCGTCTTGACGCCTGCTGTCGGCTGGTAGCCCAGTCCGCCTCCTACCACCGATCGTCTAGAGGCTGACGACGAGTTGGAGCTCGCGCGTCTGTCAGGACGATGCTCGGACGAAGACGCTCGAGGGGAATGGCGAATCTCAGGAGCCGACTGCCTCAATGCCTTGGGGGACCTCTCGCCTTCCACTTCCGCACTGCTGCGACCAGCTTCTGGTGCAGGCCCTGTCTCAGCGTCGCCACTTCCCGCCTCCTTCCCGCGGCTAGCATGGTCGGATGCTGATGAGCTTTTGGAGGATGACGGGCTGCGTGGAGACAGCTCACGTGCTTCTCTCGAAGAGCGCGTGCCTCGGCTGCTTGATGAAGAGACGGGTTGGACAGACAGCCGGCGCATGATGGCCTGATCGACCTCCTCATCAATTGGCTGCCTTTCTGGCGTTTCTTCTCGTGACTCGGACTCCGTCTGCCGAGGGCTGGTTTCTGGGAGGGGTCTCTGTCGGGGGCTGATGTCATCTGATGTCCGGGGAGCGAGCACGTTGACGGCTGCGACGGCGACCTTAGCTGTGGCTCGCAGCTTGCCGAACCTCTTCTGGTATGCAGCGTCCTGAAGCTGCATGAGGTTCTCAAGGTCCTGGAGTCGCTGTCGCAGCATTTCGTTGTCGTTCCGGTACTTGGCCTTCTCCTGTTCGTGGCACAGACAACGATACGAAGAAATCGAGACAGGAAGGAGACATGCGTACCTCCTCGTTCCGCGCCTGCTGGGCTTCCTGTATGGCTTGCACTTCTGATGGCCGGCGGCGGATAATCAAGCGCGTCATCGCCTTGATCTTCCTCAGCTCTGACAGCCACTCGCCCTTGCGACCTTTCGACGATGGAATCAGACGTGATGATTTGGCCGCCTGCTTTCTGTCCTCCGCCGCCGCGCTCTCAACCTCCTCCCGTCCTTCAGTGGTCTGGAAATGACGCGACCACTTAGCCTTCTCTCTGACACACATCGACGCAAGAAGCATCTCATACCCAGTGTGGTGCGATGAACGCATGTATGTCTTGAGAGGGCATACGATTCATCGACGATGACGGCGCTGGTTTTGCTTCTCTTCAATCGCATGCCAGTGGAGGAGCTGGCGGATGATTCCCTTGATGATGCCCGTGACATGTCCGCGTCTGCCCGGAAGGCCATCGTCCGCGTGCGGCGCAGCGGCAAGAACGTGGCGCTGTCGCTCCGTTTCATCACCCTGACGCCGTGGGGGAAACCCTCCAGCTTTCGCTTAACATAGCCCTTGTTGTTGAGATGGCTCAGATAGATGAGGCGGCCAAGAAAGCGTCGTGTCTGCCAGATGAAGGGACGGACGAGCGAGATCAATTCAAAGATGTGTCGCTTTCATTACCGCAATGTCAGCGATTCTCCATCGTTTGCGCGAGACCTTGAGCCACTCGGAGTGAAGCCTGGCCAGGCCACCCACCACCATCTTGAGCAGCTTTTTCCGGGGCTGGACCTGGAAGAACAGGCGAAGTGACGATTGATGCATGTGCGCGCCATGAATGGATGTCTACCCAGGCCGATTCGAGTGCTGCACTGGACGAGTAGGAATCACCTCGCTCCCTACGCATCGCTGCAAACTCCCTCTGCTGACGCATGTGATTCTGTGTAAAGATAAAGCAAGCAGAGGAGTGAAGTGATGACTCTTCCACTGGATGGCTTAGTGCTAGCGGACCTTTGTGTCTTCAATGTGTGCATTGATGTCGGTCTGGAGCTCCGCAATCCACGAGGGATCGATCAAGTTTGGGACGTGGCAAATCGGCCTAGACACAAAGACACAAATGCAGAGGTCGAGAGTGTTTCTTCTTCAGCACAGCACACTGGTTGGCTGACTGGAGAGAGAACGCAGCCTCGCTTGGGCTTTCTGGGCGGTCAGGCGGCGCCGTCTGCGAGCGGATGAAGGCCTTGAACAGGGCTTTGAGTTCCTGCGAACGCTTGGAATAGTATGTCAGCTCAGCCTCACCAAACACAACAGACGACTGGAAGCAAACATTCAAGAGAAAACGCACAATAAAAATGTCCGCTGTGTCTCGTGCGTGTCGCATACCTCATATTTGAATGTCTCAGCGTTGAATATGAAAGGCACTCCTGCCTGCGTGAGCCCCTCGTGGAGCAGCACCGCCCATTCGTGTCTTTGTATCAGCTGCTGCTTCTTGTCGTTGATGCTGTACTCGTACTTGATGGCCTGTTTCTTCTCGTTCGCCAGATTGACACGCAAGTCGCCCATTGCCTCGAGCAGGGCAGTGCGCATCTTCATTGAGGAAGCCACCTGGCTCTCCAAACATGCCAGCCGATCGCTCACAGTCGGGTCGACCTCCCACGATATGTCGCACTCCATCCTGTCGAACTCTCGCAGAAATAGCTCCTTCGCTCTGACAGGAGCGACTCACAATGATTCTGGCCTTCTTCGACCAAGTGCTCTTGTGCTCACCTCGTCAGCAGCTGATATCTTCGCCTCAGAGCCTCGCCTTTCATCGCTCGCAGCCGCTCTTGTTCCCTCCTGCTCTTGGCAGAGGGGGTGCCGCCTGCAGACTCGATTGACATGCGCCTTAGCGCGGCCTGCAGGCTCTTCCGTGCTGAGGCGAAGAGGGACGGGAGGCCGTATAGTCGCATGGACCGCACTCTCTTGCACATGTATTCGCGGATCGTCTCAATGCGGTTCTGCACTGCCTGCGTCATTTCGCCCGCCACCTCCACACGCAACAGCTCCTTCAATTCTTTCTGTCATACGCAGAAGGATGTGATTCACTCACGTTGCCTTGTGCTTGTCTGTGGTTGCTCGGTCAGCCAACCTGTGCTGCTCGCAGTGTGAGGAACGTGCCATTGTACGCTCGTGCGCCGTTGACGAGGTTGGCTGATGTGCGCTTCATGATCCTGACCATGTGCATGAGTCGGCTCTCGCCCTTGATCTCATCGACACCGTCCCACGTGATGCCTGTGCCTTTCTCGGTGAGCCGTCCAGGGTCATCATACTCGTCCTTTCCCCCCGCGGCCTCTTTGCTGTCTTCGAGGTCTTCCTTGTAGGCAAGCACGCCATCGAGAGTCAGATTGCGTAGCCGCTCCACGCGCCGCTGGAGACTCGGCATCAGCCTGCAACACAAGAGGGAGAGACAGATGAGACGCTGTCTCGTATACATGTATGTTGATGTATATGTATTGATGCCAGTACGTACACGATCTTCTTCCGGTTGACGGATATGAAAGACAGCAACCGCTCTCGGGTGGTCGCATGGCTCTTCTTCAACCTGCAACAGAGCAGCCCGTGACATCGGTGCCATTGATCTTTGGGCGTCTGACTTGTCCAGGATTTGTTGCTCATCTTCCCCCCTGCGCATGAGCCGCCTCCGGATGAGGAATAGTCGGCGATACTGCTGCTCGAGCTGGCCGATCCTTGACTCCACCATTGCGGCATCTTCCTCCTCGCTCACGAACGGCAGATTCAGCTTGGGCGGCGTCTGGTCTGCTGTGTCAAGACGCTCAAAGCTGTCGAGAGGAAAGCTGTCGAGAGGGGAGCCTTCAACAAAATCTTCTGCCTGTCGCTTCCTTCGCCTTCGTCTCCTCTTCTTGGCCTTGTCCCTGACATGAGGGCTGGGCGGCGTCGTGCCGTCTTCTTGCTGGTCTTCTGTTGTGGCGTCAGCCGCTTGGTTTTCCTCTGCTTCTGCGAAAGTCACCGTTGGCTTCTTCGACGGTCTCGAGAGAGCTGTTTGTGGACACAAGAGGAATTATGTCACTAACCTCGTGATCTGTGACTAACCTTCACTTGTCTGATCGTCAGCTTCGGTGGTTTCCTCCTCGGTGCTCTCTTCCCATGACTCTTCGTCTCTCTCGTGATCCTCTTCTTCAGATGCCTGGTCCAGCAGTGCTTCTAGCTCCCGCTCAGCAGCGTCTGTCTCCGACTCAGCTGGCTTCACCTCGACCGTCTCGTCTTCCTCCGTCCCTTTCTGGCTTCTTTGGCTCTTGAGGCTCACGTTCGTTGCCTGTCTCGAGGGACCAGGGGCAGACGGCGTCTTGCCATCCTCCTGCGGTAGCTGCGCCTGCCTTGCAGCATCAGCGGCCGGTGAGACATCGGTTAGGGGGATTTCCAGGCCGAGTTCGAGCGGGGCGATGACGTCTTCCAGGATCTGGGACGCCCGTGCCATGGACATGTTGTAGCCCTGCTTCGTCTGATGCAGCACCATTTCACGAATCTGTACCTTCCGGATCTGCAGGCGGAGCCAGCAGCCACAGACGGAAGCATATCGCTGATGTGTGTTGAATCCTTCGCAGCTTTTTGTGCTGACCTCATTCATGATGCATTCGACAAACTGCCCCATAATCATAGACCAATGGCACTTGCGGGACTGCAAAGCCTCCTCGGCAGTGTGCTTCGACTCGAGCAGCTTGAGAGAGAAGATGCTGTCGGTGCTGATTAGCCGCTCGAAGTAGCTGCGGATTGCGGGCTCAAGGGCAAGGCACCGCTTGACGAAGATCCTCAGGAAAGACAGGGCGAGCCCCAAACCGATCGACGCTTCCTCGGCACCCCACGCAGCCTCCAGCTTGGTGGCCTTGGAGAAGTGGAGCCGTTTCCATAGTGCCTCGATCTTGCGGATCTGGGCAAGGAATTCTACATGAGAATCGATGTCCTCCTCGTCGTCTTCTTTCTTCTCGATCTCTCCTGCGGCCCCTTCATCTGACGACGAGGACTCGCTCTTGATTTCGAGCGAGCCCTTCAGGTCTTTCAAGACGTTCTTCATGTGGCCGCGGACCATCATCAGGATCTGAGTGGCCTTTTTCTGAGCCTTGTAGTCGAACTTGGTGGGTGGGAGGATCGTCCACACCCAGCCGTTCTCGGTGATGTCGTGCAGCACCTGCATGACCCGGAGCAGGAAGGACTTGAGCCGCGTGTAGTACTCGCATACTTGCACCACACGACCCAAATCGACCTGAACCATGAGAACAGTCACGCGAATGACGAGGGGAATTCTTGCTGTCTCTGCTCTGCCTTCCCGCACCTGCTCGAAGAAGTTTTGATAGCCTGAGAAGGCGTTGACCACCTCGAGGAAGAACTCAGTGTCTGTCAGCCTGTTGAGGAACTCCATAGCATCCATCTTGCCACGCGGCCTGTACACACTCACACACACATGAATCAGCCTTTCTGCGTACCCTTGCGCCCCCTGCTCACCTCCTGTTGACCCTGTATTCTTCCAGATCAATGTACTGCTCCCTGTGGCGTATCTGTGCAGACGCCTCTGCGAGGCATCCCAGCTTCTGGTACAGCCCTCCCACCCGCCCCTCCGACTCCCTGAAGTACTCCACATACCGCGACCGGCTCGGCCTGAAGGGATTGGCGCGCTCCTCGCCGTCAGCAAGCATTGTCTTGCCCCACTCATCCAGCTCCGTGACGAACGTCGTCTTCTGAGTGGCAGATGGGATGGTTTTCTTTGTGGGGCTGCCGGTAAGGGCCAGGTCGGGCATGTAGGACGGTTCTTTCTGCTGCACCCGCGCCCCTCTCCGCCGGCCGTGGGCTGTCTGCTGCGGCCCGACCTCGTGGGGCGTCCACTTGTGCATGGCGCGCCGGACACGCCGGATGAGGTCTTCATCGGTCTTGGGGGGCTTGGGAAGGAAGCCCTTTCGGCCATGGGGAGCCTCACGACGATGGTCGGTGAGTGTTGGCATTTTTGGGGGGAGGGAAGGAAAAATTGGGAGGGCGATCGATCGAGAGGGACAGCGGGATTCTTCCCATCGCTTATACATGAATGCAGCCGTAGATGAAAGCATCTATCCATTGGTACGGCAAAAACGCCATGAATGCAGCCAAAATCCATGTGCATGCACACAACCGTGAACCATACAAATGTGACTGAGACGTGGATACACACGAAGAAATGGTGCGCTCACTGTTGCTGACAGGCCTGCCTTTCCACGGATGGATATACACAGGCAGGCAGGCAGGCAGGCTCCTCTCTTCTTGACTACATTTCCTGACCGTCTACCATGGATGAAGCATGCATTAGGGCGAAAAATCGCTATTGACCACTTGATCACTCCACTGCACTTAGTGCAAGCGCACCCTCACAAACACATGCACGTATTGGCTAGCTTCCCGAGTACCCGTTGGCCACCACCAGTCCCCTGCCTGCCCCCAGCCTAATGACCCGATCTCTCAGATCACTCGTCCCTTTCACCACATGGCGCGGGGCACGCCCTCGGTGCTGGTTGCCGTTCAGCATTGGGGCGTGGTCTACAGCTTGGGGAAAAATCGATGGAGGGGCACAGGGTGGGGTGGCAGGGGCAGGTGGGGACGCGATGCCAGAGGGCGACGCCGCTCGTGGTGAGGACGGTCTCTCGTCAGCTAGACGGTCCAGCTGATGACCCATCTCCTCTGCCAGCTGCAGCACAACGCACACAGAAGAGAATCACTCAGGATTGGTGCGCTGTTGTCCGTCTGTCATACTACCTCCTTCAGCAGATGCTCGTCGATTGGTGCAGCGGTGAGTGCCCCAAAGAGCTGAGCAAGGTCCGTCCGCGAAAACGCCTGACCGCCATCGCTCCCCTCTCCACCACCGACACTGACCCGATGGAAAAATTCGTGCGTCACGGCTGTGAAGAACCGGGCTCGCGCGTCCTGCTCTCCCCTCTGCAGCAGATTCTTGCCCGCCTCATCCTTGATGACCGTCAGCCCCTCGAGAGCCCAAGTAAAGTTGGCGAGCTCGCGGGCAGAGAAAGCAGGCAGCTGACGCGACGCCTGAGCAACACGACAATACACCACTCGATGAGCGAGTGTCCCAGCCGACCAAGGCACACGTGTTTGTGTGGGCATGGCGCACCTGTGCCATGAAGGCATCGATCAGCTTCCGCGTTTGGTGTGCGAGTTGTGACGGCAGGGACCGCCTGGGCAGCGCCATGAAAGCGTAGAGGAGGCCGCAGAGGAAGGCCGTCATGCACGTGGGGCTGAAGTCTGGGGGCGAGGCCGCTGCGTCGTCGAACGGCCGACCGCTCCGGAGGGCCAGCATGCGATCCACCACGCAGCGGAAGAACCGGGGAGAGGCGACTTTGAGGTTGCCGTATGCCCATGACAGCTGGGACAGGTCGGCCGCACAGTAACCACTGCGACACACCAGTAACAGGGATGAAGAGTTACCAGCTGTGCATGGGCATTTGTCCGCCTACTCGATGCGTGGTCCAATGACATAGGTCCCAGCTGCCTGCAGCAGCAGCTGGTCGCCCTCTTTCGCCTCCTCTGACGACCTCTCCATCGCGTGCAGCCGTGCCAGGCTCCACGCACACATGGCGACGTCACGGGCAGCAAACGTCCCGTTGACCGTCTTGACGCCCTCCCTTCGCCGCCTCTCTTCCTCTTCCTGCTTGTGCTGCAGCAGATGGCCCACTCGCCAGGACGATGGCTTGCCCAGATGCCGCCTGCGCTGCTCTGCCAGCATGGCACGGCCCTTGTGCTGCCATGTGTCGGCTGTGCGCTGGTGGGGGGCGATTGAGACGGTCGTTGAGATGAGAGTGGGGAGGGAGGGGGCTGGGGGGTGGCTCTTGCCATGGCCATTTCTGTAGCCATTTGCAAGAGGGGCTGGAGGGCGTCTGTGAATGACGGCGTCCTCCATGAGCAGCTGCCACAGCTTGAGCCGCACGAGCTGAAAACGGCGATCGTTGAGCAAGCCCGTTTCCCACACGTCATCATTGCTGCTGGTGGTGTCACGGTGGTAGCCGTTGAGGTGTGGCGCTTTCCTCTCCCTTGCTGTCCGTTTCCTTTTCTCCCTGGGATAGATCTTCATGAGTCGTATGAAGAAGGCCACGATGCTCCGCGATGTGAGGAGGGGACAGGCCGCCACGGCCTCGTCGAGAAGATCGTTGGTTGTCGGCGCACGCGAGAACCGTCGGCGGATGGCGATTGTCTCGTCATCATTAACCTGAGCATTCATCGAAGAACACCACATTAATGCTGTGTCTGCCCTGCTCCTCTCTGCTCGCTGATGTCACTCACTCATCTCACCTGTGCAGTGAGGTGGTCATCGCCCACATCCGCATCCCCATCGCCCAGTGACCCTCTCCCCATCGACAAGAGCGTGTCATCCCGCACCATCTCGCCATCCTTCACGGCCTTGAGCAGCCGCCTCAGCCGCTCCGCTGTCCGGACGGGCGACCCGTTGCTGCCGTGCGGAAGCCGCTGAGACTCCTCATAGACCACCTCCCACAGCCGCACGGACACAGGGGCCAACTCGAGATGCAGACCATCAATCGGCGCGTCGGTGTCCGCTTCCCGACAGAGCAGCCCGAGCCGCTCGATGGCAGCGGCCAGCTCCGTGGCGTCGAGACTCTTGGCTGTCCTCCTCAGACCCTCGACCGCAACAACCAGATCATTGTTCAGAGACTGCTGTGTTGTCTGAGGCTGCCGCACGGTTGAAACGACGGGCCGCGGCGCGTCTGCAAGCCGAGCCGGGCTGCTGGAGAAGGACCCTCCGCAAGTCGCTGACGTTCGCGCTGCGTCGAGGCTGCGTCCTTTCCTCCGCTGTCTGCTGTCAGGGACGAGATACCGGCATCCAAATGCGGGAGTGCGCTGCCGCGGGTCGGAGAAGACAGTCATCCGGCTAAGCAGCCAACAGAGGAGCACCACACCTTGCAAGATGAGCATTATGGCGCAAGCAGAAGGGCGTGCAGAAGGGCATTGCCAGAGGGGAGAGGCATCGATGGGGCGGTCCCTATTAAGCTTTTCCGCCTACACGCGCTCCTCCAGGTGCGTCTGAGCTCACAGATCTGCGAGCTTAGAGCGGGAGGGGCAGGAGTAAAGACAAGGGAAAACATGGCGCTGCTGCTCGTCCTGACCGCTGCGGCATTCTCGTATGTCGTGGAAGGCTACCGGCCGCACCCTCTCTCCTCGCTTCCGTCGTCACACAGAGGCAGACCAGATCCGTCAGCCGAGAGGCGGCGGCACCTCCAGGATGCCCTCATATCCACCACTGCACTGATCGGCATCGGCGCTCTCGGCCTTGAGGACTCGCAGGCCCTTGCAGCTGGCACCGCGAGGAGCGTAGCTGACATCGACGTGGCGCTTGAGGGCAAGATGCACAAGTTCCGGGAGTATTTGGGCCCGAAGCTGACGCTGGTGGCCAATACCGCTTCTTATTGCGCCCTGACGGACGGAAACAACAAAGGTCAGGAGACGCCACTGCAATACCACTGACACGTTTGTCAGTTGGGTTGTATCCTGCGCACCTGTCTGTCTGTCTGGCTGGCTGCAGGATTGGTGTCGCTCTATGAAAGGTACCATGATAAGGGGCTGAACATTGTTGCAGTGCCTAGCAATGAATTCGCCTACCAAGTGAAGAGTGACACGACGGGGAGACGCTGGCTGGGATATGGACACATGCGTCTGATCTTCCTCAGGATCCCGATGAGAGCGCCACGATTCGGAAGAACATGTGTGGCCTCTATGGAGTCGAGGTGCGTGGACACACCACACATGCACGCATGATGATAGCCAGACATAAGAGAAGAGCTCGTCTGTTGGTGGGGTCGGCTGTTCTGTGCAGTTTCCGATTCTCGACAAGCAGCGTGTGCAGGTTGGCCCTCAACAAGACCCCCTGTTCGCGACGCTCACCTCGGCCGACGGCATGACGGGCAGGATAGAGTGGAAGTATGATCCCCTCCCCCCTTCAGCACGGCACCAACACACAGCCATTCTGTATGCACAGCTCCATCCCTCTCTCCGTTGTGTGTGTGTCGTTCTGTGTGTCTGTCACTCGTCAGCTACGCCAAGTTCCTGCTCGGTGTGCCAGCCACACATACACACACGTGGACGGACGGGATCGGATCGCTGATTGGACTGTGTTATGTGCGTAGACGCTGATGGCGTGCCGATTCGGCGGTACAAGCCCGGTGTGTATCCGATGGATTCGCCGCTGCAGGATGACATCGACGCCTACCTTACTAAGGGCACACTGCCGCCTAAGAGGCCCAGAAGCCTCAACGACTTCTGACGAGGCATTGCATTCTCTGAGGATAGTTGTCTGGAGACGAAGGGAGATGTCCGGTTGTATGTATTCCGGTAGGAAGAGAGGGAGCGTTGTGTAGGTAGAAGTTGGGGCATTTGCGTCGTAGGGGTGTGGTGTGCATGGCGGGGGGGCCAGGGGCTGGGTGTCGCGAAGCGACATCGAAGAGAAGGCAAAGTTGAACAACAGCACATGGAACCATCTCTTGTACGCGTCTGTGTTTGTATGTCGCGGATTCATTCATTCATCTTCCGCGGACTCGCTCGTGGATGAAATCAATTGCTCGGCTGTCACACGCGAAGGGCGGACTGCCCACACCCTCTTTCTTCCTCTCGGCACGATCTCTCTTGCCATTTGAGCTCGCAGGGATTTACAGGTGGACGTGAGGATGGGGAATGATGTGACGGTGCCCAGCAGCCGGCAGCCCATCCCGCCGGCAAGAGGCAACGAAGCGATAGATTTCATCCATCGCGAGGAGCGACATGCCTTCCACGAACAGAGGGATGTCGGCTGCCTCCGATGCGCAGCGACATTCCTCAGGCAGATAGACTTGTCGGCCGCCGTCCTCCGCACTCGGCTGGGGCGCTCCCTCGCGGCCAAACAGCTGGACGGCATCATCGCATTCTCTTTGCAGCTGGAGACCAAGCTCGTGCTGAAGGCCATCTGGCTGGTCGACACACAGCAGTGGACCGAGGTGGTCAACGCGCTGAAGTTTGCGGCTCAGAGGGGCTACTGTCAGCTGCCGATCACACTCGATGTGGCGGATTGTGACCGTCACGATAGCAAACAGGTGGGCAGAAGAGCGAGGGGTGGGGTGGGTGGCACTCATCGGTCTGTCGGTCTGTGTGTGGTGTCCTTGTAGGCGTATTTGGCCGATGCGCGTGTGATTGCGCTGTGGAAGGTGGTCGGCAGACACGTCAACTTCGGCGGCAACCACGGCCGTTTTGAGCTGTTCGACCAGCCGGGCGGCGGTGTGCGGGCCCTCCGCGACGAGCCGGGCTACGAGCTGGACATCAACCCCGCCCTCCTCCCCCGGCCACCCATACCACCCACACACCATCAACGACAACCCGCCCGTCAGATCCACAATCGACCTGCAGGGGGACAGCTGGACAGCGGCTGGTGAGGTGGTCACTTATGCCTCGGCGTCGGCGTTCGTCATGAGGACCATCATGATCCCTCCAGATGCCAATGATGGGTGGACGCCTTACGTTGCCGTGGACCGGTACGCAGGACACACCACACTCAGGCAGACACACAACGATCCATCACGGCCTCTTCCCTCTGTCATGTGCTGGTCTCCTCAGGCATGCTCACGGCGGTGTGCTGGACGGCCTCCTCAACCACTCGCCCCACCAGCCCCCTCACGGATGCACCGCCATTGCGGCGAGCAGGTGGGATGAGGATCCCCCTGTAGAGATTCGGACTCTGCTGCTGACGCCGTTCGACATGCCATTCGTCGCATGGGTCGCTCTGTATATCTTCCCCGACACGGACATGGGTGAGGGAACAAGATAGCATATCCTCTGTGTTAATTGAGCCGTCCTTTGACGTGTGGTGTTTCACTGAATGCAGTGGATGTTAGTGTCATCACCATTGAGCCACCGGTGGGTGGTGCATCTGATGCCTTCAAGGACCGCCGGCCCACCACCCCCCTCTCTGGTGCGAGGCCTGCTGGGCAGCACCATCGCAGACATGGTCGTCAACCAACATGAAGTGGAGTTAGACGATAGAGGTGAGTGTGACCGGCTGCCTCTGTCTTGGTGTGTCGGATGAATCCGTGTGTGTGTGTGTGTGTGTTGTGCAGAGGACGGTGCAGACGATGGTGGTGACGATGACGATGACGATGACGGCGATAGCGATGAGGGTGAGTGGTGGGGATGTGTGTGTGCGCATTCGTATGCCTGCGCGCGCGTGTGTGTGTGCAGATATGGATAGCAATGGCGATGGCGATGGCGATGGCGAGCAAGAGCAGCAGCAGGAGGACGAAGAGGGTGAGCCAGATCAGCGTGACACACACACACACGCACTCACTGTGTGCCTCATGGATGGACATGAACGTGTCAGATGAGGGTGTGGAGGAGAGGGAGGCGAAGAGAAGGAGGACCGCACGGTGATGGAGTGGGTGGTGCGTGCCCCGGGTGGACAGGAAGGAGGACAAGAGCAGTCGTATGGACACAGCTAGCTAGCGGCCCCCTCTGACGCATCCCATGCACTTAGTTTTGACCGATACACACGTACCTTTGCAATGAATGCATCGATGTGTCCACGTGTGTGTGACGAACCTCTTCTGTGTAGCTGTGCATACGAACGGTGCGGTGGGTGGAATGGAATGGCTTGGTTGCCCGTTTTGGTTTTCAGCTCTTCTCTGCGTGCGACAAATTCTCTCTCGTGGCCACATCGATGCATTCATTTCATCGGTTCTGTAAAGCTGCGCCAGTCACGCACACAAAAAGGTTTGTTTTTCCTTCCACATGCGATCCATTGATTGACCCAACCACACCTACACTTCCACCTGTCCAGGCAAGGATCGATCTCGATGGATGGATGGATGCCGCAACAAGGCCGGCTGTACCGATGAGCATCCGGCAGTAGCTGCAGCTAGGTAGGGAGCCGTTGCAAGACCTACCTCTCTATCAGCCAGAGACGCACCGGTGCCAGTTAGGCCCCATGCACACCCACCACACCTGTCTGTCCACCGAGGTATGTATAGAAGTGTATCAAGAATATAGAGCAGCAGCAGCAGCAGTGGGTGGTGATTGTACAATGGTGGGAAGGTGATGGATGGCTTCACAGCTCCAGCACCGCACCACGCGAATGCAGACCGCTGAACCAACACACACACACACACACACACCACACACACACAGAGACCCACGTCTCCTTTCTCTCTCCCTCTCTCACTCTGTGTGGGTGGGGGAGGCGTGTGTGTGTGTCTGCGGCTCGCCTACTTCCATATGAGTGTGTTCTGCAAGGGTATCCACTGTTTGGTGATGAGCTTGACGGCCTCCTGCGACGCCACACCGCCCAGAAACGACGCCGTCGTGTGCAGCTCACACCCGCCGTAGCGCACCCTGACAATCAATGTCACCAGACAGACACGCACCATGCAGACGGACAGACATGGCGGCCCGACAGATTGAGGCTTGCTTACAGTTCCTGGAGGTATTTGTCGGGCACGGCGTCGGCGGGGAGGTCGAGGGCGGTACACACACGGCGGGCACAACCCTTCAGCGCCTCCACGTCACCAGCCAACTGATACAAACACAACCCCCACACACACATATATGGCCGCTTCGCTCTCTCTCTCTCTCTCTCTGTGTGTGTGTGTGTGTCAGCTGACCGTATCGTCAGAGTGGTCGTGGTCGGTCTTTGCGCCTGCGACGTAGCCCTTCTCCTCGCGGAACACCTCCCATGCCGCCAGGGCCAGGTACCACGGCACCTCGCTGCTGGTCTCGTCAGCAGTGAACTCGTCGTAGGACTCGCCTGCACACACATACACACGACACACAGGGGTGTCTGCCTGTGCTGTGCTGTGTGTCGTGTGTGTGTTGTCTTCCGCGTACGTATGTTGTCCTTCATGGCGGTGTCAGGTTTGGTCTCCTCGGCCAAAGTGCGGTACCGAAACAGAGCGATAGAATGCGCATCTGACCACCACACCCACAGACATGCGCCCCCATTCCCTGTCCCCCATTAAGACGTACGTTTGCAGAATCTCTGGATGTATTCGTCGTCGATCTTGGTGGGGTGGTGGTGGTGGGTCTCATTGATGTCCCGCATGCCGTTGATGACGCCCATGACGGCAGTGCCCGCACCGCTGTCGCCGTCAGTCCCCGACAGGAAGGACGACACCGACGCACGCACCGCCGCAACGTCACCCTCGGCACGCTGACGATAACTGAGGCAGAGAGAGAGAGAGAGAGAGGTGGGGAGTGGGGGAGTTGTGGTGTGGTGGTGTGTGGTGGGCATATTACATGGATTGTAGTTTGATGAATGAGTCGGTGTCTGCCGTCATGTCTGGCAGGGTGCCCGACAGAGGCAGACGACCACACGCACTCTCAAACCTGCCGACAGCACACATGGCAATGCACCTGTTTTGTGTGTGTGTGTGTGTGTGTGTGGTGGCGTGTCGTACTGTGCGACGGCTTTGGCGACGATCCAGAAGGCAGTGTTGTTGGGTTCGTGTCCGCTGATGGACTTGGCGTCGTCGAGGATGGCCTTGACGCTGCTGTCAATCTGACCACACACACCCCACCATACACACACATGTACTTGCAACTAGGGGTGTGTTTGGGGTGTGTGTGGGAGGGGGCATCGGCTGACAGTGTAGGCTTTGAAGGCTTTGAACATGTGTTTGAGGGCCTCGTCGAAGTTGACCTGCACACACAGAGAGTGGGAGCACGGCGTGGTGGGTGTGGGCGTGGGTGTGGGTGTGGTTGTGGGTTGGGGGGCGTCCTGACCTCCTTGTCGCTTCGTCTCATGGCGAGTATGAACTGCTTGAAGGTCTCCTTCTCCTCGGCTGTCGACGGCAGACGACCATTGTACTGAACCACACACGCACACACACAACACCTTCCATGTGGGGGTGTGTCGTCTCTGTGTGGTGGGTGGGCACATGAATTACACACATTGTTCCTGAATTGTTCGAGAGCTTTGAGGAGAATGACGACATACGGCACGTGGGCGTGCTTGACCTCGTCCATCGAGGAAGACGACACGTCCACACTCATTGCATACGACTGACGGACGGGACGACCAGCACAGAAAAGGTCGATCCACAGAGAGACAGAGAGACAGAGAGAGAGAGAGAGGAGAGAGATGGGTGGTGTGTGGTGGATGTCGGTGGCGGTGGTGCTTGCCTTGAGCTCTTTGAATGGCTCCGTCAGCCGCAGGTCTCCGAAATCGCTCTCGTTCTTGGTCTCTATCACTGCACACACAAAGCACAAAGCAGCCCAGCAGCCCCTTGTGCTTGTGTGTGTGTGTTGTGTCTGCACGCCACACGGTGGGACCACACAACGCACCGGCGTGTTCCCTTGCGAAGAGTCGGATGGTTCCGATGAAGCCGACGCCCCTGAGGTGGATGAAGGCCTTGTTGTACCGGTGACACAACTCACACAGTGCCACCGCATCTCGCTGAGGGAGGGACCCATACACACACACACACACAGGGAGAGGGAGAGGGAGAGGCAGAGGGAGTGGAGTGGGGCTTGTGTGTGTGTGTGTCCGTGTCCATGCTATACTACCTGTGGTGTCTGTGCGGCGATGATGAGTGTGAACTGCTGGAAGAAGCCCTCATCCTTCTCCAGCAACGACGTCACACTCTGCCAATGCAACACACACACACATACACACACACATACAAATCACACCACATCACACCACACCAAAGCACCACCACACCCACCCACCTGTTGCACAGCCTCCCCCTTGACGTCGGGGTTGAGTTCGAGCAGGTGTTTGAGGGCGGCCTTGGCGCGGCTGTGGCCCACGTCCTGCATCTCCACAAAGAAGTTCTGACCCAAATCAGCACTCTCTACCACGGCTTCGTCCACTATCGTCAAGTGGGCCACACCTGAACACACCCCCCCACAGAAATGCGTTTGGCCTCTCCCTCCCCCTCTCCCTCCCTCACTGCGGCTGTGTGTGTGGTTGGTGTCATGTGCGATTCATTGATCGCCCTACCTACCGGGCAGCACCAGGTTCTTGAGTGTTTCGGTGGCTATGGCGTTGCTGCCGACACAGCACACGGACGCCTCAGCAAGGGCCTTCTGCCCGTGCGGGCCCCACATGCTAAACACACACGCCAAACAGGCAAAATGCACACACGCATCAGCTCAGCAGCACACGCCGCCGCATCGCGCATCATCGGCATATGCATGAGAGCAGCCGATGTGCCGCCACGCATGCTGCAGCCTCTCGCCTGTCTGCGCGTCCAGAGATCCCTTGCTTACCGAAGCTGCCGGTCATACTTGTCGTCGGTGGCCATGGGACAAACTCACCTCCCCTCCCGCTGCAAGACAGCAACTGCAGATCTGGGATGCCGCCAAGAGGGACAGATGTCAGCGTCACGGCCACTCTTTGCGGGGAAAACGGCTCTTTTTCCTCGAAAACGCGACAGATCGCCGCGCTGAAGCTCGCACGAGATCGGGTGCGTTACCGAGAAACAGCATTTGTTGAGAGGCCGAGTAGAGTCGAGCCGACCCGAGCATCAGCATCAGCACCATCCATCCATCATGACGTCGGCATCCATGCTGTCGTCATATGTGGTCCCGGCATTCGCGACGATAGGCGTCTGCTCGGTGGCCCTGTGCGCCTTCAACCTCACCCGGTGGGCGTACGACGTCTTCCTCGCGCCATCGAGCGACGCATTCTTGTCCAAGTTCCGTGGCGACTGGTGTATGATCACTGGGGCGGCTGGCGGCACGGGCCGGTGTTTCGCGGAGCGGCTGGCGGCCAAGGGACTGAATTTGATCCTGGTCGACATCAATGAGGGTGCGATGGAGGAGATGCGGCGGTCGCTGCGGGCTTTGTTCCCGAGTGTGGAGGTCAAGACGCTGCGGCTCGACCTGATGGAGGAGATGCGCGTGGTGGAGGGGAACCTCAAGGCGTTCATGCAGGACAACGGCATCGACAAGATCGGTGAGTGAGTATGCACACACAGACAGATGCATGGCGACACACGACAAAGGCGTGTGTGGGGGTTATGTGTTGTGTGTGTGTGTGTTCCGCCTGCAGGCGTGTTGCTGTGTTGCGCTGGCGGGGTGGTGTCTGCGGGCTCGCTGTGCCACGCCCTGCTCCGGGGTAACCATACACCACACCCACTCACACACCCAAGCCAATGTGCCTACCGACCGCGTCACCCGACCCGACTCTTGTGTAATGCAGAGCGTCCCCTGTCGCTCCTGTACCGGGACGTGCAGTACAACGTGTCGTCGACCCTGCTGTGCTGCAGTTTCGTGCTGCCCTACATGAAGCACAACGGCCGCGGACTCATCATGCTCATGTCGTCCATGAGCGCACTGGCGGGGCTGCCGGGCTCGCCCGAGTATGCCGGGGCCAAGGCCTACCTGCGGCTGTGGACCTGGTCCATAGAGGAGGAGCTCCGGAGGGACAACATCACCATCACCGCCTTCACACCCGGTGAGGCGGCATTCCATCCACACACGCATGCGCCCATTCGTCCACGGAGCTCTCATCATTCTCCCTCTGTGTGTGTGGTGGGTGAGTCAGGTTTCATCACGACCCCGTTGTGCCAGAACCTGCGCGGCCCGATCTGTGCGACCCCCGAGTCGTTCGTCAAGTGGGCGCTGCACAAGTGCCACCGGGGGCCCATCTGCAATCCCCACCCCAAACACGCCATCGTCGAGGCCATCGGCGTCAACATACTCGGCATCAAGTACCCTTAGCCACATAACCGCAGCTCACATAAGACACACAAATCAATGCGCCCGTGTGTGTGTGTGTGTGTGTGTTAGGTACATGCGTCAGCAGGCGGAGGCGGCGTCGTTTGAGATCGCCCGTCGCGTCATGAGCCAGAAGCAGCAGCAGCCGCCGAGCAAGAACGGCCCCGTGCTGGTGGAGGACCCCCGCGAGAAGGAGCGCATCCTCAAGGCCGCGCAGAAGCGAAGCATCTTCTTCTGGCCCATGACAGCCGGATAGGTACTGTAGCAGATTCTCACAGCAGACAGACACACACACATGGGTGGGTGGGTGAAGTCGTTGTGTAGATAGTAGAGAGAGAGGGAGGGAGAGAGGGAGGGAGGGAGGGAGGGACAGAGAGACAGACGTGCACTCACTGCCTAGCTAGATACTATCTTGGATACTATCTTGGATCGTCCGTCGTTTATTTGTCGGTGGTGTGGCTGTTGGTAGCATCCACGACACACGCAGAGAGCACAGGACACAACAGACCCTACGTAGAGCGAGCCGAGGAGAGAGAGGCAACACCGAGCAAAGAAAGCTTGTGTGGATAGGAATTGACGTAGAGTGGGCCGCCAAGGGAGAGGGGGGAGGGGGGAGAGGGGAAGGGCCGTGTGTGTGCTGGTGGGCGCCTGATTTTTGACATTGATGGGAATCTATTCTAATCGTCGACTGACAGAGACAGACAGACAGACAGACAGAAGGAACGAAGCAGCAGAGGCAGGTCACCTGCTTGTTTGCATACGTGTATTGTGGTGTGGTGTGGTGTGGTGTGTGTGTGTGTCGCCGTGTTGCGCTAATTCCCCTCTGCCGATGGATGTGTCGCGTGTTTACGTGGGTGTCCTGCCTGCCTGCCTGCCTGTGTGTGTCGCTCGTCGGTGTCTTGTGTGCGTATGAATCGGTCGTACATCAATCATCTGTCGCCCACCCGTGCGTGGTTTAATGTGTATATCTCTCTGTGTTTGGTCGTGGCCGAACGGTGTGCAGCACTCGGATGTGTGTGTGTGTGTGACTAGAGCTCTCCTGTTCATCTCTATCTATCTACTCGTGGCCTTTTTTCGCTCCCTCCCACGTAGATGGTGCTGCATTTCTCGTGCGTCCTCGCGCACTGCCCATCTGTCCGTGTGTGTGTGCCGTGAAAGATACTCTCTCTCTCTCTGTCTCTCTCTCTC